GGTGAGGAAGCAGGAGGTGACGTCTGGAGATTGGCTGGTATTACAAGCAGGCAAGAGGATGACCAGTCAACCGCCAGGGCCTCAAGTTTTGGGGAGCAGCATATCTTGGTGGGATTCCTGCCTGGATCTTGGATGGGAGCTTGGTTGCAACTAGAAGAAGAAGAACCACACTGAAGCAACACCTCGTCTCAACTAGGGTAAGAACGTTTGGGAAAAGGCAACGGTTGTCTGCTACTTTATAGACGCTGAGACTCTTGTTTGAACTGGGCATTAAAAGACTGAGTACAAAAGACTGAGTATTAAAGACATATTTACGTGGCAACAGCAACTTGCAAGCCCTAGGTGGGTGGAGGTGACCCAGAGCAGTAGCCTGTTGTTGGGGAAGGGGTGTGCTGCAATAAAGCACTGGGTACAGATTTGCTACGCTGTGGTGGGTCCAGTCCTTGGAAAGCAAAGAACCCTCACATATGGTATGATATGGTCAGAAAAGTCAAGATGGTAGCCATGATTGTGCTTTGAAGTTCTGCCTGGGTGATGCCCATAAAAATAGACAGAGCTTTGATTGCACTGTCATGGCCACCATTTTGACTTTCTTGACCATACACTGCAGATACCTCCATCTGGTTCCTTTCTGAGTGTTCTTCATTTCCACATGGGCTCCCAGTCTGGCTTCTGGATTGATCAGCCTACACTGGGTTACACCATCTTGGTGATGGTTGCTCATTCTCACTCTTGAGAATGGGTTAGGTCTGTTGGCAAGATCTGGGTTGACACCAGGTAACACCTCCTTTTTTTAAAAAAAAAAAGCATTTAACTGGCAGCAGGGGCATTAACACTAACCCTCCAGAGCTGTCCTGTTAAGAACTAGCCACCAGAGCTCTCTGGAGTGACCAATGCCTCCCCTTGAAAGACAACAGCCAGAGGTTTTGGAGGAGGATGGGGTGGGTTGAGCATGATTTACCTCCCTCCTGATCTGTTGCCCGGGGTGAAATACCCACCCTACTTTACAAGAGGGCAGCTCCAGTTGGAAACCAAAAGCTGGCCCCACTTCTGTGGGTCCATCCAGTAAGAGATCAACATCTGGCTGGTTTGACAGCCATTTCTGGGTCACGGTTATTTTCATGAAGGGCGAAGGGTTCAGTAACTCAGGGTTCCTCAACCTTGACAACTTTAAGATGGGTGGACTTCAACTCCCAGAATGCTGGCTGGGGAATTCTGGGAGTTGAA